CCACCCAGTTTTGTGCCTTTGACGCAAATAGTGCAATCATCAACACAAGGACGCCTCCTAAAAGAGCCCCGAGTCCAGCTGCGACGTTTGTTTAGCGAAAGTTCTAGTTAAAATGAGATGCACAACTCACTGATAGTAAAAGCCCATCCAACCCCGATGGCATCAATCATGGGGACCAGACCACCAACAGCACCAGCTCCAAAGCTGTATTGAATGATATACTTGCCGCTGATCACAGCTGTGCGATGCTCCGGAAGAGCCTCTGCAATATTGCTTAGCAATTTCACGACTAAGTGATGTAGTCGAGCCATAGACTTACCGGCTGAATACGTGTTGAGACCACTAAATGACCACATGAGTCCGAGACCCTGCACGAAGGAACTGATAATGGGTAGTGGCATGCCGCCAACCTCCTTTTGTACACTCCAGCCATACAACAGCGTACCCACAGGCAAGATGACAAAGATTGCTGGCAGACTGGCCCTCAACCTGTCCTGGGGGAGACGAAGTCCGTTGCGCTTGCGGATGTACCTCTTCACGGTGTGATCCGAGAGCCTTCCTCCGAGAGTACTGCCCAACAAGAAACCGGCGCCTGGTGCCAGGTAGAAGAGGCCACTGATCAAGGGTGAGGTCAGGCCGAAACGAGGGTTGATGACGCGTCGGACGGAACTAAGAAGACCATACTGGTTGAAGCCCAGCAAGCCGCAGGTGACATTCTTTATCCACAGTTAGCGCGCGTGCGAGTATGATAGGGGACCGTAGTACATACTGCTGCTAGAATATTAGGGTATTTGAAAGCCCTCAAAACACCCATGGGGTTAAATGCATGCATCACCTCTCTGACAGAATGAACAGGGGCCTTCTCGGGGACTTTCAGGTGCGTGAGCTCGCTTGCTCTGGGGACGAAGAAATACGCCAGGATCAGGCCAATGAAAGTCATTGCAGCTTGAACGCCATAGATGATCCTCCAACTGGCGAATGCAACAATGACGCCGCCAGTCAAAGGTGCTGCAAAAGTCAGCGTTTGTCTCTTGAATACGACGTTGTAACCTACCTATTGTGTTTGCAGCAACGCAGCTTCCAAGGAAGAATCCTACTGCGGTACCTCTGGTTGTCTAACGCTGATGTTAGATCCTGTTTGTTGTGCTCGTTGTGCTTACTCACCGGCTCAAAGATGTCCGCCAAGATAGTCTGGCCCGCAACGAGGAAGAACGGACCCGTTGTTCCTCCAATGACCCAAATGGCGGTAAAACAGGCCAAGTTTTTGGAGAGCGCAGATCCAATTGAACAAAGAGTCAAGAGAGAGTTTGCCAATAGGTACGCGGTCCTCCGACCCAGGATGTTGCTGGTTGGGAGCCAGATCAAAGCCGACAAGGCCATGGCGATGAAAACGCCGGCGTTAGCCGTGCTGATTGCATGCGTTGAAACACCAAAGTCCGCAGCGACCTCTTTCGTCGCAGTCAAGATCGAGCTTCCGGAGAAGGTAACCGGTAGGGCCATCCAGCAGACGACGAACAACGTAACCCACTTGCGCCAAGTGGGCATTTCCATGACCACATCATCAACGGCAGCGGGCCGGGCAGGCTCGGACGCGGCCGGGATGGGGCCGGAAAGCGGATCGGAACTTAATTGCGGCATGGTGACGGTAGCCATCTTGTCCGGCTTCTCGGCAGTCTGTGTAGCCATGGTAACGAGCGTAGCATCGAATAAATCAACAGCTAAAAGAAAGGGATATCCAGCGATTTTACAGTCGAAACATCAGAGCGGTCACGTATGGCTCGGGGACCCAGCCGGGTATATACCCAGCGAAACCACTCCGCCATTCGGACGCCCCAGCCGGCACCGAAAAAAATTCACCATTTTTTCGTCGTATCCTGTGACTCAAAGGTGTCGATAAGTGGGCCTTGCATTGCGAGTTTTAGATAGGTCACAAGCGAGGCCGGTTCGGGGGGCGGAAAACTTGTTGCACTGATAGCGGTGGATTTCTTTGGGCCGCAAGTCTTTTGTTCATGTTTCTAAGTCGGCAAGTCATCATGAAGCCGACTTGACACATTGAGACAGCCGGAGATATTGTGGGGATAATGCAGACAGGTAAGACTCGGCGAAAACTCAAATCATGCCGAGGACCGTGGGGCACTGACTAATCTTCCCCCCGGCGTAAAATTCAATTTTTGCCGATAACCTCGGGCCTGCTGACCTTTCTTCCTTCAACTGGTCTGAACTGGACGACAAAGAAAGCGTTCGGACGTAGTGCTGACAAGCTATTTCCAGTGGTTCTGTCAATGTAGCGGTCACGTTCACCAGGCCCTCTGACGCAGGCTTGAGTCGCTGAATATCTACTGGCCGCCTCGGCGTTTGGCCATCTTCCCGAAATACATCGGAGCCCACGAGGACACATTCCCGATTCGGTAAACTTATCGACCAACACCATGGCCTCGGAAGGGGACATGTCCAGTGCGGAGGACAGGGTCTTGTCAGTATCTGCATCGGCTTCCAAGAGTTCGAACCCGAAGTCCAGGACGAAGCCCATAGCGTGAGTCTCGCGATTTGTTCATTGTCAATAATAATTGCAGTAATTGACGTTGGGTTGTAGGTGTTCCAGATGTCATTCGCGTAAAGTGAGATGCTCAGGTGGGCACCCATGCGATAACTGCCGCCAGGCAAGTAAGGGTGCAGAATGCACCTATCCCAGACGCAATCGTATGATCAAAGTGAGCCAACGGTATGTTGCACTGGGTTTGCATTTGTATGTTCATCTACCCAATTGTGTCCTCTAACACCCGTCACTCAGATATGTCGATGATCTCATAGCCGAGAACCAGCGCCTCAAGGGCCAAAATGCCGGGCCTCGACATGCCGACACTCATACTCAAGCCGCCACCATCCTTCCTGACATCCCCGCAGTGCCAGCAAGAGACACAGTTGACAATGGCATTGCTATACCAGCACCGTCACTTGACCAACGCCCATGGTTCTTTGATATGAACATCCCACACACCCCCATTCTCATCGGCGAGGCATCAGACGCTGCATTCGCTACTCGATTTCGGCAAGCAATCGCAACTGGAGATCATAGCCACATACCCAGAGTTAACTATGCAACTGATGAACGACTATTGGCGTTGTCTGACGTCGACTGCCCGTGGCCTAGCCCTGCAAGGGCTCGCTTCCTGGTCGGCGTTGCCTTGAGATATGTGAGTCGATGCTATCACATCATCCGTAAGAGTCTCATCTTGGACGGACTAGAGCAGACACTTCAGAATCCATCTGAAAGTGACACTCTTTTGAAGAGTAAACTCTGGGCATTATTCGCTATCGGCGCCATGTATTCGACACGATCGGCGACGTCCGAGAAAGATTTCCCAGGAATGGGCTATTTTGCCAGGGCCACCAGAGTGCTCCGCATCGTCAGCGAAAGACCACGGATTGATGTAGTCGAGCTTAGACTCTTGCTTGTAGGTGTGGCAATGTGCATTATGATACCATAGTTTGCTGACCCTAAGTCATATAGTCTTTCTACTCTTTGGCACTTAATCGCCGACATACCGCCTACACCTTCGCTGGTTCCGCGACTAGACTCGCCGTCGTCATGGGTCTGCATCTCAACGTCCCCGAGTCCCAGCTGCGAGACGTTGCCGCCCGGGAACATCGGAACCGAGTGTTCTGGACAGCATACATATTCGACCGCATGTGGGCATCGAAGTTGGGCCATCCTGTCTGCGTTCAGGATGTCGACATCGAGGTTGATCTTCCATCTAACCCTACGGTTGACGAAAGTATCGCGGATGATTTTGCGGATGCATCATACTTCGTCGCCAGTGTCAAGCTCGCGCGGGTTCTTGGGAAAATTGTGCCATTGATCTATCGCAGACGGAATCAGCAGATGTCGCTATCCCACCGGGTACAGGAAGCGTTGAACGACCTCCGTGGTTGGGTTGAGGAGTTACCACCCCAGCTTCACATCGACCACAAGGTCACATCAGAGAGAATGCAGAAACCAATCTCGCTACATCTGAACTTCAATCAAGTAAGTCCGAACATGTCCCAGAGTGAAATTGAATCCTACTAACAACCAAGTGCGCCGTGAGCGTCACCCGTCCCATTCTGCTCCACGTCCTTCGCACCCATGTGGCGTCGTGGGGAACACCATCAACTCCAGAGCCACAGATTCCGGGAACAGCAATGACTCTTGCTGAAGCGTGCATTCGTTGTGCTAGACACTCCTGTCGCCTGTTGACCGAATGTTGGATTGACGGATCTTTTGCAACATTTGACTACTTCTATACCCAGTACCTCTTCTCGGCCTCCACCATTCTCGCCATATCAAGTCTTCTCAATGGCAAAGAAAGTCAAAACGATCGAGAACAGTTCGAAGAAGCGGCGCAATTTCTCTCCCAGCTGAGAGACAACGGCAATTTTGCTGCCGGGGAGTTCTGCCAGCATATCGACGCTATGAAAGCAATGATGGCTGCTGCTCATGCTCGCCGTGGCGGATACTCGGTGGCAGGGGACGCTTCTACGCTGCTTGGCGACGCAACGGCCACTTTTGGCGATGCGATGAGTATTGCACAGCCCTTCACCGCTCAGAACACCACAGCCGGCATGGCTCTCGCGGAACCGTCTCTACAAGAGTTGTTGGCTCAGCCTATCCTGGACCTGCAATTTATCGACGCATCTATCTACAACGATGGTGCGCAAGGGCTGTATTGGCCAGACATAAGTCCAGAGACTTGGACACCTGATTGGACTGCAGCTTGATTGAGGATTGCATGTCATGTGGCAAGATCGATACTAAATGCTGTTCCTCATCTCCGATTAATACATGGTCCGTCCCTCATGAGCTCCCATCTTGGTCCAGCCACAGACGTCCTTACTGGCTCCTAAAGAGATATCACCAAAATCTAAACGGCACTGCCAGCCTCCCAGCCGCGTTTGGAGCCGCAGTTGGCGAAACAGCTGAACCACTTGCTTGTCCTCCGCTTCCTGTCGACTGTCCCGTTTCACCAGTTGCTTCTGCTGTCGTCGTTACAGTACCCGGTCCGATTGTCGATGTGGTGGTGCCCGGCGCTGCGCTCCCACTCTGAGTGCCATCGCATGCCACTTCGCCTGAGATGAAGGTGTAGCTGGTGCTGCACCCGATTCGGCCACACGTTCCCTTGCACGGAAAACTGATGTACTCAGTGGGTACAGGCGTCGGGCATCCGCAGCCGTGAGTCAGGGTGGAAATGGTGATGCACTGAAGAACCATGCATGTTGAGCATATCTCAAGCGTCTCTGTCGCAGTCGGGCATCCGGTCTGTGGTGATACAGGCGACGAAGTGATAGTACGTAGGACGGTGGAGTCAGATATGACGTCGGATGAGGCTTGAGCCACGATCGGCGCCGCCCTATTGCCGTCAGCTGCGTACCATTACAGATATTTTGCACGGGATCTTACGCTGAAATTATTGCGAGAATGTGGATGGAAGTTTTCATATTGTCGTTCTTGAGTGTGAAGTCAGACGAGAAGGGAAACCATGGCTTGGGAAGTTCTGCAGGAGTATGATATATCAACCCATGATGGCAGGTGACTATGTCGTTCTCCGCTTGATGATCCCGAACGTCATTCGTCGACTTGGTCGGTGTAGCAATTCACCAGCCTTTTTGGGAGTAGGTGTCTTGGCTTGCAGGGGCACAACGGCGATGGACTCGTATCGAGCTTCATAGCGCGGAGATCCATTTATTTCGGCCTATCAGAGGCCCCGAGACAGATCATCAAAATGTTACACCAAGTTTCATAGCCAAAACAGTTTTGTTTATCTTGCAAGAAATCAGGAAGATCAGCCATTCATTTTTTCACGGCTCATCTATGTAAAAGCAGTCGACGGCTATTTATTGCGCTCGCGATCTGATTGGTGTCACAATGGAGACCCAAAGTACGTTGAATTACGTCAGGAACATACGTTGATGATTCAACGTCTCAGCCGTTAAAAACCATCACCATAGGTAGGTAAACTCAGATAATGAGTTTCAAATTCATAATGTCGTTCTTCTCAGTTACTTTTGTGTGAATCTGGTCGAATGATTTCAATGCACCAGCCCTGGTGGCTGGTCCAAGCAACTCAAGATTGCCAGACGTAACACGCCATCGGAAAGCTGCGAATAGCGACCGACCTCAAAAGGGATCCCATTTTCAAGCATGGTATGAACGTTCCCATAAGGTAGAAAATCTTGTAATCAGATGGTAGAGAAATAGCTACTGTAGCATTTTACCCTACTAATAACCCCTCCGTGCCTAAGGATCATCATCGTTGTCGTCCTTCCTGTCGGTTTTGCTGGCACTATGATCACCCGTTTTATCCTTATCCTCCCGAATATCAGACTAAAGGTCTTGTAATCCGGCTCTTTAGCCTTCCGATGTAGGTGAACCATGAATTGGCGGTCCGCTCAGTTGATACGGCTCTAAAATGATTTTGAGCATGTTGACTTCGAGAGATCATAACACCATGGGAAAGTTTCAGCCGTCCTCAATTCCCCAACGAAGGCTTTATTTTCGAAATAGTTACCAGTCGCAGACACCGGCGGGATAAATATGCATTACACACAGAAGCTAAGCATAATAAAGAAGGAATAGCTTACGCTAGAGACAAAAGTTGATACCCGGGGTGACCCGGATATCCTGCCGAATACGAACAACATGGTATCGTTGTGAGCTGGTCCAGTGACGGTGGAATTTGAGTTTTCTGAGTCGCACCAAAAGCGCGGGGTTTCTTTGAGATGAACTTAACGACGGACGTCGGCAATTGGCCTGCACATCGCATTGAGTAACGCGTCTCCTCATCCAAACGAGGAACGAACGCGGGGAAGGGGAAACCGAACCCGAGATTTTGGAACTGGCTGCCGTCCATCAGACAAAGAGAGTGAAAGCTGACAGTTTCCACCCCAACCATCTCATCAACATCACCAGCTCGTGGACCAAAATATCAAGTCACCTCCCCCATCAAGAGTTCGGAGCCTCTCGGTCAGAATGGAACTCATCAAAACCTCGGAAACATGGCGACTTGTTGCCTTAGTCCCATTTCTGGGCTTAGTTTACGGCGCGTACTCCATGTACAAAGCGCGCAGCTTCTTTCGACGACTTCAGCGCCTCGGTTACCCAATGCCCCCTCACCACCCTATCTGGGGTCATCTTGGTGTCATTGCGAGCGTCGTGAAGGATCTACCGCCCGACCTCATGCCTACAGTGGCTCTTGGCGAATACTTCCGCCGACGGTACCCTCATCTAGACCAAGCGTTCTATCTCGACCAGTGGCCCTTCTCGAAGCCGATGCTTGTCCTCCTGTCCCCGGATGCAGCACGTCAAATCAGTCAAGGTGTAGCGCTGCCAAAGGATCCAGGCCAACATGAGTTCCTCAAACCTTTGACCGGGGGCCACGACTTGGACACGATGGAGGGCGACGAGTGGAAATTCTGGCATAACGTCTTCAGCCCTGGCTTCCGTGTTTCGAACATCGCTGCTTTGGTGCCGAACATGGTCGAGATGGTCAGCGTCTTTTGCGAACGTCTTCGTCAGCAGGCAAGAAGGGGTGATAAACCGTTTCACCTGAGCCCAATGGCGCTCGATCTCACCATGGACCTCTCCAGCAAATCGATCTGGGATCATGAGCTGCACAGTCAGACCGGATACAACGAGTTTTCCTCGGCCCTGGCCTCACAGCTCAGCTGGCTTCACTACTATGGGACTTCACCTCTAAAGGACCTCAACATCCTTCGTCCATTTATGCAATGGTACAACGCCCGCCGCATGGACACTTACATCGACAACGTGCTGTCCCAAAAGCCGAGACCTGGTATGCGAGATAAGACTGGAGCAATCTCGGTGTTGGACACGGCCAACATCCCGCAAGATCCGGTACATGTCAAGGTACTTCCCAAGGTCATCCGCTCCCAAATAAAATTCATGATGCTTGCGGGATATGACACCACCGGTTCGTCAATAGTCTTTATGACTCACCTTCTTTCAAAGCATCCAGATGTTCTTGCGCGGGTTCGTGCGGAACATGACGAGGTCTTGGGTCCAGATGTCTCTGTGGCGCCAAAGTTGATAGCAGCGAATCCCAAGCTGCTCAACCTTCTCCCTTACACTACGGCCGTGATCAAGGAGTCTTTGCGGTTCTACCCGCCCGGCGCAACCTCGAGGTATGGAAACCCTGACTTTCACATCGTGATAGAATCGCCAAATTCGAAAGCCAACGGCGGGGTCGGAGAAGGTACTTTAGCTCTGCCCACCGATAGGATTGTGTGCATGGCAATCCACCACGGCATCCATCACAACCCACGCTACTGGGAGAGGCCCCATGAGTTCATACCCGAGCGCTTCTTGGAAAAGACTAAAGACGACCCACTTCAGCCTCCGGCCAATGGCTGGCGCCCGTTTGAACGTGGACCACGAGCATGTATTGGGCAAGAGATGGCATTGACTGAGGTCAAGATGGTCTGCGCTATGACGGCGAGAGAATTTGACTTCAAACCTGCGTACGGCGAGATGGGGCCTCAGCCTGCGCCTAGGATTGACAATGACCATGTCTATTTAGTCAGTCGCGGAGGAGCTGCAAATCCAAGCGGATACTATCCATGTCGAATCAGGCTCACCACCAGAATCTGAGGAAGGAACTGGCATGGGGAGGTTGTTGAAACGGGAACATCGTCAGGACGTTGTATTTTACGATGGCAGCGCTATTTTGGGGGAAGTCGGTGAGTTGTGCCCGTAGGCGGTAGCCTGCAAAACTCATAAACACATAAACCCAAAGCTCGAAGAATTAAAAACCAAAAACACATAGGAGTGAAAACACTAACAAGACCCTGCTTCTTGTTCAGTGCGCTCACAGGTTGTTGAAGAAAAATCAAATGGGTCTTAATGTCATTTACCTTGTGGGAATTACAAACGCCCAGGAACTGGGAAAATAACAATTGTCTTAGAGCTGAGGAGTTTTCATGATGATTACCTTATGCACCGTACACAAGTCTGCATTATTTCGTATCCGTTGCGCACGTTCGATACTCCTCCAGCTCTGCACGTCATCATCTACGGCCGAATCGTAAAACATGGATGTGTTAAATTAGGTAGTCTAGCAACGTCTCGGCACGCATCAGCTCTTCATGACATCGCGAATGGTGACGGATGTTCTAGGTAATACGGTACTCAAGTGTGATAGTATTATTGTCATCGAGAGCAATCGTCTAATCCGGTCACAGGGAATCGGAATCTGACCTCAAGAAAACCATCCAAGTCATCTCTAGGGATTAACAGATATACGGTTGATTCTGGTATCCAACTACAGCATGCGTGAAAACAGTTTCAGCTGAGGCATACAGCGAAGTGATTCAACACGCAGAAATATTGCGGAAAGGCCAAGCCCATCATGTTACTTTTGTGACAATTCAATTGACACTTTGATAATGACTTGGATGTTCATCGCACCAATCGTTGAGTTGCGGCCGATTCCGAATTAGGACAATGCGTGGACAACGCGAAGTCGGGTATGTAACCTAAATGGTGTGGATTGAGGGGCCTGCAGAATTAAACCCTGCATTGTTTTGTGACTCTCAGGCCACATGGATCTCGACTAGGTGGCAATTGGCAACGACGATTGGTTCGGCATGCTTGCCAAGGAATAATCTGGGTCTGGAAACGTATCCCCCCGTTTAGAGGCGAATCGCAACATCCAAATGACATGCAGTCGAAATACACATAGAATGCATGGAAGAGGCACATAATTTGTAATCCGTGCCTAGAACCTCGAAAAGGCCCCTCTCGCATATCCATGTTGCTTCGTAGGGCCGACGATAGAAATCGGGGGACTATCTACAAAAGGGAAGGTCGCCCTTAGCCAACGATGGGTACTTCACAGCCTTCCCTTGCCATTGTATTCTTCGCTCTCATCTTTTTCACCTCAGTGTATCATCGTCTCAAATGATTGAAATTTCGGCCGTTAGCCATTAGCGATCAATATGGCTGAGACAGTGGATCCTTCGACCAACGACGTTGCCCCTCAGACCGCGGCAGCCGCAGCGGCTTCCCCCGGAGAAGACGCTGCTGGGACGCAGGATGACGACAACACGAATTCTATCGCGGCAGATGAAGCAGAAACTGTACGTCGACGCATCCATCGCACCACGCGTTTGCGGCTAGAACTGACACCTTCACCATAGACCGATGCAGCGAGTATCCAGGAGCGATTGTACGATATTATTCTTCAGAACGCAGAGCATGCGCCCCGCTCGGCAGTAGCGCGCTAATGAGACTCTTGATAGATCCCGCTATACAGCATCCCTTTCATCCAGTGTTGTCGATTATCCTATGGAATATGGCCGGCGATATCATGCGTATCGTCCAGGCTGTAAGTTTGTATCAGTTTCAACAATGCCGTAGTGTAAAATACTTACTTGCGCCTCTACCCAGCATACATCCTGCCCAATGATGAAATCGAAATTGAACGGCTGGATATGGCGCACGCCATGATGGTCAAGGCGATTGGCAGTCGACTTTTCCTTGCCCCACTTGAGAAGGAAAAGATTCAAAGGATCCTTGACATAGGCACAGGCACTGGCATTTGTATCTTCATCATCCATTCCGTTCTATTTGTTCTCCACACTGATTATGTTTTCTAGGGGCCGTGGAGATGGGGGATATCTTCGATAATGCCGAAGTCATCGGGACTGATTTGAGCGCCATTCAGTCCGAGTGGTGCGTATCACAAAAAGCGGCCATTGGTCATTGAGCATTGGCTGATAATTGTAATAGGGTACCTCCTAACGTCAAGTTCGAAATCGACGACGTCGAGAGCCCTTGGGTTCAAAATGAGAAGTTCGACTACATTTTTTGCCGCTTCATGGCTGCTTCGATTGCCGATTGGCCAAAGCTTATTGAAAACATCTACAAGTACGTCGACGAGATTATGTCAGGTCTTTGGTGATAATCTGACCAGCTTACAGTAATCTTAACCACGGAGGCTGGGCGGAGTTCCATGAGATGGACCCTGAGATCTACTCCCATGATGGGACGTATACGAACAATCACGCAACCTGGCCATGGAATCAAGCCTTCCTTCAAACTATGAATAGCATCGGCCGCGACCCATGCCCAGGACCTAAAGTAGAGAATTGGGTGAGAAATCAGGGATTTGAAAATGTTTTCCATGAAGTGTATAAGAATCCTCTTGGTCCTTGGCCTAAAGACCCATACTACAAGGACCTCGGAACTCTCAACCTAGCACAGATGTTAGAAGGCCTCGAGGGGTTCACTCTAAGGGTATTTTGCGGCGTTCTTGGGCGAACAAGGGAGGAAGTTCTCGTTGAAGTCGCCAAAGTACGCAAGGAGATGCAAACCCGCGCCTATCATGGGTTGTACGACATGTAAGTTTTGCCTCGCCGTTGGTGATCAAGTCTTTGCTAATTGGTTATCATAGTCACGTTGTTTATGGACAAAAGCCGCTTCAATCCGAGACAGCCCAATCATCGCAATGAATGGGACCAAGGTGTCTCGAACTCAAAAGCGAGAGTGGCGAGCGGGGACGGAAGTATGGTCAGTGTCAGCTTACAAGCGTGTCTGGTTGCCCGCTGGTAGGAGGCGGGAGTGCCATTCATATGTACTTCAATGAAACACGGGCTGTTCAAACTTGTGGTTGTGCGGAAATCATCTCCTTCACTTCTAAATCCTTTAAATCTTGACTTCAGGTGCTAGCTTGTGCATAAAACATGATAATCATAAACCACCATCTCAACTAACGCGAGTCCTAACCTAGAACAAAGGAGCTCCGTGTTTCAAACATCTCGGTGAATAATAACACTCGTCAGTCTGTGAAGCAAACAATTACACACCACATCCCTCAGGCCTCACAGCTGGCTGTGCCCAAATATCTCGTCGCCTCTGAACCTCCTCCCTGTGTCATTCAAATGGGTTCTTGTGTTAACCGTCACAATGTCCTCCCTCAAAGAAGACAATGTGTCCTTCACAGATGAAGCTTGAGCTACTTCTATCAACGATAGAATCCTCTCGGCTGCGAAGAAGACTGTATCGATCTTACCCGACATTACAGAAAACATGCGGCCATGTCGTGAAACTGCACATGTGCGGTCGTCATGCGCCCCGGCAGCCTTAGTCTTGATGGCAAGTTGTGGGCCGACGTATCGGAAAAGCCGGGAGAATGACGGGAGGTAATTCTCATATTGCTTTTCCATGAGAAATCGTTTCTCCTTGATGACCTCACTGCATATACCATCGCGAACAGCTTGTGCTTCTTCCGCCGTCGCGAATTGGCCCAGAGGCGTATGCGGAACACTGGATAAAGTGAAAAGTCCAGGAGCTTCGGTGGGATAGACTGAGCAAAGCGGTCCGTCAACCAATGTTAGAGCTGGAAAGTCTGGCGGGCCTTCGTAGTAGAGTAGTAATGTCGGCTCATAGACAACAGGGATATCGGGTTTGCTGTAGTGGCCCCAGATGGCATCGATGACAAAGTCGAAGCACTCGTCGTCGACATATACAGCGTCTCCTGCATCATAAACTCGACGTATGCGATGGCCCAGTTCTAGCACGTCTTTCAGCTCCGCCTCGAAGTAGGCGCGAGCCTTAGTAAGAAGAAGCACGCGCTCAGAGGTGCACACGACCCCAGAGACATTGGTGAGCTCAACACTAGTCGGCAAGGCCTCTGTAAAGTGGACGCCGCTCGAAGCCATGATGGTTCGATATGTGCCATAGTCGAGAAGTGAGTCATGGGCGGGGACCGCGTAGATGTTGTTCGGAACGCTGCGGCTAAGGTCGGGGTATCGCTCGATGAAGCGTAAGAAGCCGTCTCGAGATTGGATGCGCGTTTCGCTATGTCGGGGATAATGGAAGCCCATGTGGAGGCGAAATTGGTTGTTGCCTGAAGCTTCGTGTAAGAGACGATCGTGCTGCTCAAACAACTTTACTCTGAATCCGAGGGCGCGAAGGGAGGTTGCAATGTGACAGCCATACCAACCGCCTCCAATGATGCCGAAGCTGAATGGCTTCAAACCATATTGGCGGGGTAAATGGAACGGCGCAGACTTGGGGATGGATGTTGGCTCCATTGATCGGGAATGATAAAGGATGACGCCGCAACAGTAGGTTGCTTCACGGATGGCAGTGTGGACGGCCCAGCTCTGGTCATGCGTCAGCTGACATGAGGACTTCAGTTTTATGTGGCGACAATCAACTACTGTGACTTCTCACCGGTTCCGCGGGGACCTGAGTTGGCTTATATGCCCTTCGAGGACAATCCTTGGTGCCTCGGACCAGGCAGTGCCAGCGCCATCTGACGTATTAATAGGAGTGACCAAGACTGTTGAGGAATACAAGGCTTCCTCCAGCGGTCCGTCACGCGCTTTAAATGCAGACTTGTCAAGGAGCTCTCAGGTACACCCGGATCTAGTCTCATTAAAACTTTTCTCTCAGTTTCCGACCCATCTTCCAAGTTTGTCCGTATCACAGTTCAGAATGCATCGTGTTCACTCGTTCTCCGTCAATTCTCGAACCTAATTGCCATTTGGGTGGGGACTTGAACAGGCAGATTTAACCCATAGCTGGGGCGCATCTCAGTTCGACATAATCAATGAGCTTACTGATCAAACCATACGCTACAAGAATTTCCCCAGAAGACCACACGCCAACTCATGGAGGCTCGAGACCGCTTGTGGCCCAACGGTGACAATGCCTGTCGTGAATACACCAATTATTGCCGCCCCAACCAGCCATAGATCTAGGTTGCTTGCGCGAAGGGCACTCATCCTCATATCCGCAGTTTGAAGATGCATGGGTCGCAGCTCCCTTCCACGATCGTCCAATACACCACTTGCTCCATTCTCCTTTTTGGCAATCTCATCGTCGCGACAGATCTCGAATCTCAGTTCGTGATCGTACATAAACTCCTCAATGAGATCCGCCGCGAGCACCTTTCGGCGACTCGCTAGATTCGCAATGCGTTGCATTCGGAGCGCATTACGTTGAAAGTGACCTTCTTCATCACGCATGAGTTTTCCAACTTTCTCTTCAATCTCCGCCGGAGTGAAAGTCTCCTTCTTCACGGATAACGCTACCCCAGCTGAGTCAAGAGCAAGAACTCGGGGCAGCTGATCTCCATAAATCCCCATGCTGAGCATGGGAACGCCGTGCCAAAGACTCTCGTTCGCTGACGAGGGTCCAACATGGCTGAAGAAGAGCCGAGTAGAGGGGTGCGCAAGTACTGCTCGTTGAGGGGCAAAGTCGACAAACTTGAGATGCGGATGCTTGTTCTCGAGGAGCTCAGTGCTACCGAGAGTGATGTGGCTGCCGTCTGACTTTGTGTGAACCACTCTGTCAGTCAGAGCTGCAAAAGCAGCCTTGCTAGCGCCGCGTATGGCCCAAACAACACCATCTACGTGGCCTGCCTGTAGGGTAGAGATGATGCCCTCTTTTAAGCTTTGCAATCGCTCGCGAGAGAGAATTACATGCGTGCCGATTGCGACGAACATGGTTCTGTCATGAGTCTGGTAGAACTTGCAAAGCTCTGCATCCAACGGAGTGTATTCATCTGACAAAATTGGTCCGATAGCATGTAGCAAAGGTGGCGTCTCCTTGGGCGTCTCAAGGCCAACGAAGGAGTTCACCAACATCAAGTGATCCGGCTTAGGGAACATAGGAAGCATACCCAGCCCCTTCTTTGCGCGCATTCTCTTTGTCGTCAGGAAGAGATCGGCGAAGGCAATTGGGTGCTTCAGCAAGTATATGTCTTGGTTGAAGCGGTCCCACATGCTCGCATGCTCGCTGGTCTGAACCCGGGGCTCAAGACCTACGCGGCCAGGGATGTAGGGCACAGGGCACATGAAGTACGGCCACTGGGGCCACATCGTGGCTAGAGGGAGATTGTACTCTCTCTGCATGTCCCGAGCCGCGTCGACGTGGAAATCCGCAAAGAGGAAGTCTGGCCGTGTGGTCTCGATGACACGCTTTAGGTTTTCGTAGGTCTCGGACCAGAAGGCGTCGAAGAACTTCTTGCCCTCGATCCAATTTCGAAGGCCATTGCCACTCCAGCTCCACTCGCTAAAGAGGATGTAGAGTTTGTCTTCTTCCTCTGGTGTGATGGCACGTCCTACTACATGAACGGCGGAGACAAACGGATAAGGGTTGGCATAGCCCTCACGGCCAGCGAAAGTGGCGAACTCGATGGTGTGTCCTCGTTCATGAAGATATTTGCAAACTTCGAAAATGGGAGCTGTTAAGACGAAACGTATTAGCCTTGAAAATATGACGTAACCATCAGGCTTACCTGAGTTTGTTGAGCCACCAGCTGTAACAATGACTAGTATTTTCCGCGGAGGGAGAAGGGGCGGATTTTTCTTTGATAGCGCCATCGCCATGAGATGAGGGTATGGTCCTGCGATTCAGACTGGAAAAGACAATTTGGAAAAGGGGAAGAGGAAAAAGAGCGTCTGGAAATGACATTCAGTGGGGGGAGATCATTCAGTAGGATGACCTCTTCCGAATCCACTGAGGTTGTAATGAGCCAAATGTGAGGAAGACTGATGCACTAAGAGTTGCCGATATTTCCCAGAAACTGCAGATGAGCAGGATCTTACCAAGTTAGCATTCGAGATGATACTTCTACCTTGGTTCGACTTGCGTCCATGAATGCGGCTGCCTTGACGTGATTCAGTCTACAGGAACTGATGTGATCAGGAGTAACCCCAAGATAGAAGGTGGGCCAATTGCCTGGCGGTATGAGTGACGTTACCCAGGTCACTTATCTCGCCAAACTGTCTTATTGGAGGAGTGCTCGTGATCCTGCCGAGGAAGTCCCAATCCTTCAGAATGACTTGGCTCACTGTCGTGTAAACTTCACGCCCTCCGCCAATGGCCTCTCGTATAGAAGTCGACACCTTTCGTTCCTAGCTAGCATTGAATCAAAAATACTCCCGCCCACACCCCTGTAGCCTTTGTATTTGCTAGCGGGTGCGGGGGTTTCCACGCGGAAGCGGCGTTGCGGCTGAGGAGCTTGTCGTTCATCCCATGTGGTCAAGCTGCTAAGCACTGAGCCTGGAACCAAGCGAGCGACAGTGTGAGGAATGCAACTCATGTTTAGCCTGGCTGCAGTGTTGTCACCCACCTGGACAGTTGTGTGTTTGGGCGGGATGGACCTGCCGAGCCGCCGTGAGTGCAACGTCGGCGAGGTTGTCTGACGTCGTGGGCCGATTGCATCCCTCAGGATCTGACAGGATTTTATTGATTAGTCAACGATTACAAGCCATGCGTTTGACGAACCATTAGCTTGCCTTTCGGCTAGACAGCTTGGAAAAAGAGTTCTGGCTTAGGCTCTGCGGAGTGGTATCCCTGTTAGATCCGTTGAGCCTAACTTGATGTAAGAGAGGGTATGAGGCGATCGTCTCGCCCTGGCAACTTACAATACACCATCCGCTGACACTGAGAGACGTATCCCGTACGACAACGGAGGGCTCCTTCGTGGGTCGGCAGGATGGCTGGTGTGGGGTAGATCAGGGAGAGAAACAAGGCTCGGAAGGTTGATTGATGTTTCAATCAACCCCGACTAGTCGCGCATGGCGTTATCAAGCATTGTGGCTGGCAACAACTTGCTGTACCTAGCCACCGCCGTGCAGCTCCGAGACAACACTGTTGAAACTTGGCAAAGGAAACAGCTTTCTCCGCCAAGCTGCGGAGACGCCCGCATGTCCGGCCCAATGAGTTGACCCCCGCGCCACGAGAATTAGCGTCGCGAGATTTTATCCCAAACAGGCCACACTAGACAGGGTACGTGATTGATGCCCCTGCAAATGATAGGGCTGGCCAATGAACACGGATATCATGAGATTGGTTCCCACAGTAATATTTTGGCGTCGTGGATTTCCCATGCTTCGATCCCCTCTCGCGGGTGCCTAGACTCCAGTCAGAGTGTGAGAGGTGGCAGGATATTCATTTAAGCGGTACAGGATCTGACGATGCGCTAAGTATCGAAGGAAGTGGTGGCTTTATCTCGCCTCATACGGACATTACTTTCAAGCCTATTGCCGTGCTCTAATAACGCCCCGAGAGGTCGCTCTCAGACTACACCCCCCATCACCCCAGGAGGCCCTAGTTTCATGGTCCCGGAAAATGAATCCACTACGTCTATGAAGCAAAAGTCCTTCCAGCATAATCTGGATCCAATCCGTCGGAATGGCGCTTCGGTTATCGATGGATCAATCATTGCCCCGTTGAGTCTTACGAGCTTCCTTTGGTCCGCCTCATTGAACGACGGGCAGGAACATCGCAGCACGCTCAGACGACAATGGAGTCTTCACGAAGCTAAGACTTGCCATGGGATGTAGATGAACTAGTTGCGGCTGAATGTAGTCTACAGCTCGTACGATATCCCATGTAGCTGCCTGCGAAGTGGCATACTTAGCGCCCGTTATTGAGAGGGCTCTCAGGATCGAACACCTCAGTCGTGATGACATCTGGATACTCCATCATGCCTTGCTTCAACACCGCCTCGATGATTTCCATCGTAACAATGGTCTCGTCCAAGGGCAGGACGAGACTCTCCAGCTTACCGTCCCGCAGGCATCTGGCACACTCGTCTGCCTCCCAGTAGAGCCCGCGGCCCCAACCACCTCGCCCGCTATCCTGTGGGAATGGGCACTCAATGGTCTCAACTTTGCTACCGCCATCCGTCTTGATCACCTTGTAGCTGTGCGGACGGAAAGCCGGACCGCAAATTTGGATCTCGCCATCTGACCCCTGGATCTTGATGGCTGGGCCGCCTGTGAAGCCGAAGTCGACACCTGATCCCAGTCGGAGAGTTGTCATGCCTATCCCCATGGTGTTGTGCTTCGGGAATTGGACGATGAAGCTGGCTGCCTCGTCGATGCCTGTGTGATACTTGCTTACAGCCGCCGCAATCGGCGCGGGCGACTCCTTCTTCTCATGCGGCTGAAGGTGGTAGAGGATCTGCATGATCCAAGTGAGCGAGTAGACGCCGAGATCAAACATGGCACCGCCAGCCAGGCCAGGGTTCACCATACGGTCTGAGTCATTGAAGTCCAGTCTCCCATCTGGGAGGTTTCGATGAATCGAGTTGTCGGCTGAGAGGCTCCGATTAGGCACATGAGAGACAATATGGTGCGGCAACACTCACCGATGACTCGATAAACGGTTCCAATGGTACCAGCCGCAACCAACTCCCGCACCTTGGTGCTGAGTGGGAAGAATCGCGTCCATACTGCCTCCATGAGGAACAGCCCCTTCTCCCGTGCTTTGTTCACCAGCTTTCTGGCCTGAGCAGCGTTGACGGTGAACGTCTTCTCGCAGAGAACGTGTTTTCCTGCCTCGAGTGCCAGCATGGCATTCTGGAAATGGTGGCTGACAGGGGAAGCCACATAAATGATGTCTACATTCTCATCCGCCACAAGCTCCCGATAGGAGCCGTATGTCTTGACGGTGGAATCGCTTGGTACATGCACCTTGCTGATAAAGTCCGCCGCCTTCTGCTTCGAGTTGGAAGATGCGACAGCCACTACCTGATGACGAACGTCATGTTTGTCGCGGGCAGCTGGGTCAGTAAGGAGATCTCGCACGAAATCTAAAGTTTTCATTCAATGGGTACTACATCCACCTCGGATTTCTGAGGAACTCACTTGCTGCGATGTGGCCAGTGGCCATGATGCCCCATTTTAGTGTGAACTCCGTCGTGGACCCCATTTTGAAATGCGTGAAGATTGCGGTGATCAATGTTAGTGGGAGGTTGACGAGGCAGAATTTTGACATATGTGACTGCGATTGCGACCACGTGTAAGGGAGCGTTGTTCGGTAAGGACACATTTTGTCTGTTCCGAGCATGTCGGACTATCTTCGGGGTCAGCTGGATTTCATCCCTTACGTCTCTTGATCTTGGCGACACCCAGGACAACCTTTGTCGGCCAACTTATCGAGGGCATCAGATCAACTGCAAATCAATTGGCCTTGATTATGGTGGGTATTAAGACAGTAGAGTCTTGCTATCCGGGCGGATAACTATTATACCAGGTTTGACAGTTTTAATCTGTTAATAATCTATTATCTCGATTATTCCTATCGTCCTTGTTATCCTTGTCGTCCTTATCGTCGCTCTCGTCCCTATTCCTATCGTCGCTACTATCGTCGTCGTTATTATCCCTATTATCGCTAATACTTACTGCCCGCCTAGACAGCTAGGATTATCCGATCAGATAGCAAAACTCGGATAGTAAACTGCATCAATTGCAAAAATTACATGCCGCTACAAAATCCTTCTCACTGGGCTTTCATAGCCTTCTCAATTCCTCTCTCAATCGTTTCAACCATCTTGTCTGTCACATCCCTAGGGGCGGTCGGAATCTCGTGTCCTGCAGGATGCTCCCAAAACTGCCTGGTCTCCTTACGAGACATATGCACTAGCTTCATACAGGTTTCCAGGTCCTTGTCTTAAGACCCAACTAAATGCACCGTTGGGATTCCAAGTACAGGTTTGTGTCACGGGCTAGAGCCCGGCCGAGATCTCCGGCTTTGCCGGAGCAGCTACCGAGACCCGGCTCCGCCGGGTCCACTATTCTGCCGTATCACACCGCCTAGCCCCGGTGTGCTTCACCGCCGCTAGGCGCCTATCCCTGTAAAGTCCCTTCTTCCTTCTTCAGCTTAGAATAGTCAATCGACGGCACCTCTATGTTGAACAAGCCTAGGAGCCAGCCCCTTACAGTTTGCCTGCTTTGTCGATATCATTCTCACAGTATCTAAGAGTGTTCGTCTCCTTAATCTCCTTCTCCGAGAAAGGAGGACCACCACAAATGAAGACTGCGAACGCGAACGGGGCGGGGAATGTATCCCTCGCAATCAGCATGGCAGCAAGAGCCGCGCCTTGAGAGAATGCCAACACTCCGTCGAATGGGCCTTCAGACTTCACATATTCCTCGAGATCATCCACCGCTTGAATTATGGTGTCGTACTTATCGGTATCGTAGTATGCGAAGTACTCAGCATTGGGTCCGGCGAGGAGATTGATACCTACGCTTGTCAGTTTCGAGTCAAAACGTGACTATCAGAACTTCATACCTGGAGCAGCTGGCCATTCTAGGGCCCCCTCCACAAAATCGAACGTCGCAGAGAAGCTCTTGGACAAAGCACTGCGTATCGCGGCTGCTTACTGTGTTAGTGAGCGTTTGCGTGTATTCTAGGCATGTAGCTCACCAGTCTGAACCTGAAAGATCTGTGTGTTGTCAGCGGATGGTATGTTGCGGATGTTACCCATGAGTAGCGAAGCCAACCTTGCTGCTTGTTCCCATTCCATGGAGGCAGAGGACACGCATTTTGCCGTTGAAATACACTTGGCCGGTTGACAAATAGTTTTCCTTCTGCACGTTCACAGTCCCCCTAGGAAGTGTGAAGCCTCTGAGCCAAATCTCAATTGAACGTAAAAAAAAATAAGCTGGAAATCAGAATTTGGTACTTCGACAATCCAACTCATAACACAACATCCCGACGCATATCTGATATCACCCATGCTTCTACTCTTCGCCGACGACCGGATCTGCTTGAGAATCACATTCATGTGCCCAAAAAAAGAATCAGTCCTCCACAAGAATTCTTCTCCACGTCAAGCACCTCATTGGCGTCGCCTCATTTTCAGCCACGCCTTTTCCTCTGCCGGTCCAACCCAATCCTTCAGGATCCTACCCGTGTGCTAGCCTTTGCGCGTCTTGCATGGTCAAAAGCTTGGAAGCGGCCACTCCAAGACCCCTGACGAAGTGCGACCCCATCGAAGGATCAGCAACCCTGCCCCCAACTAGTCAACGCTTACACCTACGCCAGTAGGGCGCCGTCAGCTTGCGTGATGAAATGGCATTCCGTCGTTTGCGCCGGCGTGAGACACTAGCATTCAGCACCTCAGCGCCTCAGCCTTCAAGGGCTGTGCTGCCTCGCAGGCTTGAAGCTCAATCCGGTGCCTGTCGCCCAAGCTGTTTATGGAAACAGACACATGTAGCAACTATCTGAAATGGAGTGGTTACTGAATACATATCACAAGTCGAACGAGAAACGCGCGGGTGAGCGCGGTGTGAGGGCTTCCGTCCTTGTTTCATTATCCTCTCATCATTCTTCGTCTGTCATATGTCAGCGTCGCATCAGCAATACCCATGTCATCTAGACCAAGCGAGCTGCAAGGGACCTCATCATAGACGGGGTGGTTTTCGTTTTTGGACTTGCTCCAGTCAGTGTGCATAACACCCTTTAGACGACTGCACTCTCGATACGTGGCAATTGGCCGAGCTTTTCTGCCATGTCTCAATCAGGAGGACACTGGCGGCCGGTGTCGCTCCCTCCCCTCCGCACCGCACGTTATTCGGGGTATCCTGAATATCCCCAGCTTCCTCCGATCACCCACGATCAGTTGCACGACTTGTATCGAGTCCCTTTCCTAAACAAAAATTCAGTGTATCAAGCTGGACCTTACATGACGGAGTCAAGGATGTCTGATTCTGTCGTGGAAAAGGCATCCGTGACCGAAAGGCATCGTGACACAGCATACGATCCAGCAGCAAACCAGGCACAAAATGAGACTGTTTATGATCCGCCAGCGGGCTCCGTGGACAACACGAACAACGATGTCCCATTGACTCCCACACGGGTAGAAGAGCAACCTACAGAGCAGAACGAGTTCATGAGTGGATGGAAATTATACATGCTCACAGCAGGGTTCGTCAATTCCAACTTCTGCACCATGTTTTTATTATTGCTGATGGAATCATAGAATCTGGATATCTCTATTTCTGTCTACTTTGGAGACGACAATTGTTAGCACATCTTTGATCGCAATATCAGATTCACTGAGCGGGTTCGAGCTTCGAAATTGGGTCGTGACGGCATATTTCCTCACGTATACTGGTACGATATCTTGGGGGACTGGAAACGCGTCTCTAACTGCTGAATTCTAGGTTTTCTGGTAATTTATGCAAAGTTGGCCAGTATCTTCGGGTCGAAAACAATGTTCATCTTCGCTTTGACAATGTTCACGGTATTTTCAATTGGCTGTGGATCTGCAAGTACCATGGAGCAATTGTGTGCAAGTTTCGATTCTATGGAAGAGCTTTCAGTCACTGACTATGTGCAGGATTATTCTGCGTGCATTCCAAGGAATAGGTGGTTCAGGCATCTACTCAATGGTGCTAGTCATTGCGCCAGCACTCGTTCCTAAGACAGAGTATGGAAAATACATCGGCATTATCTCCTCCGTCTTCGCCCTCGCTAGTATCACTGGTCCTCTTGTTGGCGGTGCCATTTCTAGCAGCACATCATGGAGATGGGTATTTATGCTGAAGTACGTAATCCCCTTGCTTCCCGGAAGCAAAGGCGTAGAGTAAAGTTGAGTGCTAATTCGTCCTTGAAGCGGACCCCCTGGCTTTGTGGCCATCCTCCTAGTTGCAATATTCTTGCCAGCCAGCAAGCCGGAACGTACCATGGACTTCAAAACTAGAATGAAAGCCAAGTTCTCTGGAGAAACAACTCGACGTGTTGACTTCGTCGGAGCTGGTTCACTACTGGGCGCTTCTGTGCTTCTAGTCTTCGCTCTCGAGTCAGGCGGTACACGTTACGCTTGGGATAGCTCGGCCATATCGTCTACCTTCATCTTTTCAGGCATTCTATGGATAGTTTTCATAGTCTGGGAGATTCGTCTAGAGCGGAAGAAGAATATGCCTCAGGAGCCCATCTTCATTATGGGTCTTCTGAAGGATCGCCAATTGGCCAGTATGATGTTGTGAGTCAATTCTTCATCGATGCGTGCCTGTGTAGCTGACCGCAACAAGCACGACTTTCTTCATCGGCTTCCCCTTCGTCACCATTCTCTTCATCATTCCACAAAGGGCCCAAGACGTCTATGGCCTGAACCCAGTACAGTCAATTTTATCTGTCCTTCCATTGCTGCTCATCTCGCCATTTGCCACAGCAATCTCTGGAGTGTTGACATCAAATTACAACGTACCCCCAGCATACCTCATCCTCATTGGGTCTGTCATCCAGCTTATCGGAGTCGGTCTTTCAATTAGCATTCCGCTCACTGGCGACCACATTTCCGCCTCGCAGTATGGCTTCGAGGCCGTCATGGGAGTTGGCTTTGGGTTGACACTCAGCACAGTCCTGACTCTAGGGCAGCTTATTGTCAGCAAAGAGAACGCTGGAATCGTGATGGGAGCTCTGACTCAGATTCGCGTCCTTGGCGGGACTATTGCACTAGCAATTTGGTAAGCTTTGCCCAAACAAGAAGTTGGAGAAGCAAGTTTGCTGACCTGTCCCAAAGCTCTGCAGTGCTTTCAAGTGACTTGAGGGCGGGGCTTGCAGGACTTATCAAGCCTGACGAGCTCGGCCAAATCGCCGAATCCCTGTCATCGATCAACGATTTGGACCCGGAGCGAGCCGCTGCAGTGCGACTCGCGTTTGCGACCGGGTATAAGCGACAATTCCAGATACTGACTGGCTTCAGTGGATTAGCTCTGTTGGCAGCATTGTTCTTATTTAGTCGCAACCCAGTCACCGTCAAAGGCGCGACCTCCAAAGAAGCCCAGGGAAGCTCTATTGACTCGTATGAGCTAGCCGGGAGAGGGTCATCAGAGGAGCAGAGGAATGCTTGATGATCGGACCTGTGACATAATTATATGCAGGCTCATGTCGAACCTCGCAGAACAGTTGTAGAGAGTGCTTACTATGCGAAAGGTAGAGAATGCATTAGCCAATGGAACGACTTGAGTTTTGGGACTTGCTGTCGCGGACCGGTGATATCATGCGTTCCGTCTCCGAGACTTCGTTTTGCGTCTTCAAAGGAATGCTGACCGCATAGTATTGTAATGCCACCTTCTAGAAAGAGGTCAGTTTAACGGGGCTGCGCGGGGAAGCCAAGGCGTAAGCCGATAAGGAGACAATGTATTTACAGCCGAAGCGCTCTGCTCTAGATTTTTTGGACGCAGCACATTGTGCTTCTTCATCATGAATCTTACCGTTTTATCGCTCCTAGCACTGGCGACTGGTGTCCGCTCAGCAGCCCGCAATGTGTCGCACTCTGATAGTCTTAGTGTGCAGACCTCCACCGGGATCTTCACAGGACTGATTGACACGGATTCGCCCAACACTCGCCAATGGCGATCGATTCCTTTCGCAGAACCTCCTGTCGGGTCGCGGCGCTGGCAACCTCCTAAGAAGCTTCAGCCCTCAACCAAACACCAATATTCAACGAAGTTCCCGCCTTCCTGCCCACAATTCGTGACGGCAATCGAATCTATGTGGAACCTGCCTCTAACAAAGGGCAATCTGATTTACAATGGAGGCCAGAACGATACGTCGGGTCTGGTGGGCGAAGCAACGTCCGAAGACTGCCTTTACCTCGCGATCTGGGCACCTACGAGCCCACCACCTAAAGAGGGGTTCCCGGTTCTCTTTTTTATGACAGGCGGCGGCTTCGTGATGGGTGGCATTGAACTTCCCTGGCAGATCCCTACGTCCTGGGTCGAGCGGTCACAGTCAGCAATCATCGTCACAATAAACTACCGCGTCAGCATCTTTGGCTTCCCTAACGCGCGTGGGGTGGCTGAAGGGGAGCAAAATCTCGGAATTCTCGACCAAAGATCCGCTCTCGAATGGGTGGAAAGCAACATCGCGGCATTTGGCGGCGATCCGAACCGCATCATGAACTGGGGCCGGTCGGCGGGTTCCATCAGCGCGGACATCCACGCCTACGCTTACCACGATGATCCGATTGCTCAATCCTACTACATGGAGTCGGGAGTCATGACCGGGTCCTATTCTTCAGGCCTCTCGGAGGACTCAACGTACTCCAATTTCACCTTTGTAGCACAGCATGTGGGTTGCGAGTCTCCTTGCGGCCCCAACTGCGAGGACGACGACGGCACGGCGGAACTTGACTGCATGCGCCGCGTATCTTTCCCGCAGATCATGAACTTCATCGGACAGTATGGTGATCGAGGCGAAACACCGCCTCTATCTTTCGGCTTGGTCCCCGATGATCACATTATCTTCCGCGACTACGACGAGCGCGCCGCAGCGGGCAAAATCGCTCGCCGCCCGTCTCTCATATCCATGACGGCCAACGAGTTCTCATCACTCACCCCATGGCCGAAATATAACCTGACCGAAGGTCCATGGCAGCCGCCTGTCACGGCCATGGACGTCGCGTGGGTGTGCTCAGCTTTCAATGCCACTGCTGCTCGCAACCGTCTGAGCACGTCCGAAGCCCCCGTCTTCAGGTTTCAATATGCTGCCGAATTTCCCAATTTGAATGTGTACAGTTGGCTGGGCGCATATCACAACAGCGAGACGCCTTTGTTGTTTGGGACGTACGACCTGTTGGATCACATAGCGCCAACGACGGATTTCCAGGTTGAAGTTAGCAGGGTGATGCAAGATTATGTTATGGCGTTTGCTGAGGATCCGTATCATGGACCGCAGAAGAAATTTGGTTGGGAGCCGCAGGTTGTCAACGAGACTAATGGAGGGTTTGTACTTCGTTTTGGAGCAGGCGAGAAGGCGGTCCAGCGCATCAATGGGGTAGAGTTAGACGGAGTGTGTCAAGGGTTGGCAGAGTATGATCCATTCCCATGAGCCTGTATTCAAGCAAATTCTGGTTGAAGTCATTTCTCAATCACTTCGGTCCTATTAAAAGTCTAATTCTTGTGCCTCTGCCATCGTCGTTGTCGCTGTTGTTGTTGTCGTCGTCGTTGTTATCGTCGTCGTCGTCGTCATCATCATCATTGTCATATCATCATTGTCACCTTTCCTGAGAACATTATCCCTACTAGTTAAAGTTACTTGAATTTGAACAGTAATAACTCTGATTAGGAAAGACTGAGAGGCGACACAAATATCCTTCTGAATAATTCTCAAAGTCATGGCTACGACATATACTATGTGAAAACTACATCAAACTCTCCGAACTCGGACATAGCATTGTTGAGGAGGGCGTAAGATCTTCTGATGGCCCCACGGGCTGTTCAGCATATCAGGAACTGGGAGAAACTCAAAGTTCCACACAAGAAGAACGAGAAATACGCGTAATTGTTGCATCGCTAGTTTTATGCCTGGAAGTAATAGTCAACAGGTGACCTCTGAAGGATGCTTGTTTCTTGACGTACCAAAGCAGCCTCGCGGTCCCAGAGAGAATTGCATTCTCGTCAATGCTGCGGAGTCGAATTCCTCCACGCCTTTTCGTCTTTCTTGATCCATCTCTCTGGCATGAAACGCTTTATATCCGTCGTGGAAAAAGCCTGTCCTTTGCGGCGTTCCCAAGCTGCCCGACTGGACTCGCCGCGGGCAACATCTGGTACACCTAGGGGCTCGTTCATGAACTGAGCATTGCACATGATGTGGGATCCTTTCGGCACGTGATAACCCAAGATGGTAGTGTCGACTGTGGCAGAACGAGCCAGTAGAGGCACAGTGTTGGCGAAACGTAGAATTTCTTCCAATGCGCCATCAAGATAGGGAATTGAGGTGGATAGAATGTCAGAGGCAGATGGCACAGATCCTAGACGCACAGATGAAAAGGCATCTTGAAGGCTCCTTCTCAGGTTTGATTGCTCCACTTGGTTATCAGCCAGCGTTTTGAAACCCCAACCGAGTGTGATGGCGGTTGTTTCGTGGCCCTGACTCGAATGTTCAGCATCGGATTCAATTGGAGGGACACGCTGTGTCACTTACCGCCACCAGCAACATCGCAAGCTCATCGCGCATTGCTGTGTCACTGGATGCTGGAGAGCGTTGCCCAGTCTTGGCGAACGCGGTCGCCTCACGCCGGAGGACTAGGTTCATGGCGCAAGTGTCTCTTTCGTCCTCAATAACTATGTCGCCCTGACTAGTGAGCTTCTCGAAGCGTAGACGGGCTCTCTCAATGAGCCCATCAATCTCCTTATCTTTAAAGCTGCTGTAGTATTTGTATTGCTTTGACTGTCGAATCCACCAGTGATGCTTGGCTGGAAATGGAGATCTCATGATTCGCTCAATAGTGCCGTTGACGTACTCGATTGCATGGTACATGATTGACCCAGGCGCCTTGGGAAACTCAATAGGCTCGTCTTTGTCAGAGCCCGATGCAGAACGTTCATTTTCGAGCGCCTTCATCTCGTCGCGGAGGCCAGTGAGTCGAGTTCCCAGCATGGCGATCCAGATGGAGTCAAACGCTGCCAACTCCAGATCATCCAAAGCCTTGAAAGGGTATTCGCTTGCAAGGGCACATTTCCGACTCCAAAGTTCGACTAACTCAGACGCGCAGCGATGCACATTTGGACCGACGACCTTTCGGAGAAATTGAGGCGACATGACATCCTGCCACAATCGCCTCTGTTCCTTGAACGCCGGGTTTGAGAGCTTGACCATACTCGCCTCAGGGACCAAAGGCTCGAAAAATGCAATGGTCGATGGAGCCCGATCGAACTCTCGAGTTCGACGGAGCAGTATGTCTTCAGTCTCCTGGGGATCGTCGATGAAGATGAACGGGCGCGAAAATGGACGCAAGAAGATCTGGACGATGGGCGAGTTCAGATTGCGACATTGCTGAAACGAGAAGCTTGCGATTCCTTTGGTTTTCTTGAAGTGGGAAAGAAGTCCTGGAAGATCTCCAAGGATTCTCTGCACAGATTCTTTATTGTATGGGATGCCAATGTATGGCCTGGGTAACGCCCTTCGATACAGAAGCAGAAGGCCACAAAATAGTAGACCAATAATAACCAGAATGGATGCCATGATGAGTGGATGTCTAGCACGGCAAAACCGCACTCTTTTGCGATACTATTTGGTCGTAGCACAAGGTCAAACGATATAATTGCCAAATCGTGCCCAGTGAGTTTTGAATCAACATTCAACGTGAAATATTTCGACTGTGGATGTACCAAAGGCGTGATGTGCGTTCGCTTCACTACATATCAGCCATGTTACTAAAAGATTATGGTCCACTGGCCATGAACCCATAGGAAACATCCGATATGGTGTCACGGAAGAACACGGCACAGCCCTGGTGAGACATCGAGCGTGTAGGAGACGGGAAGGTTGACATCTGTCAGTATGTCATAGCCTTCGAAGCTATCTCAGGCAAGGCAACAGGATATTGACCTGATGATTCTATTCCCGTCCACGGCTCGATGTCGGTTGATCGTGGCCCACTAGCAAGCAGGAATCTCACAGCCTCAGTTAAGTTGTTTCGAAATATCGTTCTATCAGGATGATCTTGATTATCTCTTCATGTTGCATCTCATTTCGCGCTTATTTCTGACGCGCCTTTTCTGAGACGCACCTTTCCTGAAATGGCTAGAATCTCGCGAAGAGTGGGTCAAGTTGTGCTAGGGTTGAGAGGGGTGCGTCTTATTGCGGAGAGGGGCGTTCGCTTCGCAATTTCGACAAGGAGGGTGATTGTAAACAAACAAGGGGCTCCATCCACGACCCGCCAGGTTGGTGTGGATGCAATCCGTGAACACGGCGCATGGCAAATTCGTGAAGCCAACAGTCCTGTCATCACTAGCGACATCTGGAGGATTCCTTGCAGTTGTATCCTGGCTAGTTCCAAATCTGCCTATCAACTCTTACCATCACCAGGCAGTAATGGACAAGCTGATTCTTCCGAAGTATATTAAAATGGTAAACTCAGGAGATGGATACCACACGGGATAAAGTTCCGAATTTCTTGGTCACCTAATTCAGTGCTCATCATTCGGTCTCCACTTGTTCTTACAACCTTGAACCAGCAAAATGGCTGCTCCATCGACCTGCACGCTGCACAACTTGACTGGCAAGTTCAAAACCAATAAGCAGCTTTGAGACAGTTCCGATCCGCTTCTTGCTATTGTTAGTATCTAGGCAGACTCTGACACCAAGATGGGTTTTTTTTTCTTGTGATGCGGGCTACTGATTTTTCAAAACAAACAGCAAGGCATCAACTGGGCTATTCGTAAGGCAATGGGTGCCGTACCGATTGTCATCAACATCAAGGCCTGCCCCCCTGAAAATGGCGTCGACGTGATCGAGGCCGAGAACGTCATTGGAGGGGGAATCCACAAAGCCAAGGAGCGTCGGCTGCTCAACTGGGACGTCGTTGAGTGTACCGACGCCAACTTTGGTCGTCTCAGGGTCCAGAATGGATGGTCGGCACTGTCCGATGTAAGCATTCCCCCTCCCCCACCTCACTAGCCCTGCAACATCCAAAGTTCCAGCCCATATTCTGTAAGCCATGCAGATAAGTCCCTTGCATGCTTGCATAACTTCATTGGAGATCGTATGGAAGGATCCAAGGGAACATGGTATTGCGTGTTAATGGCCAGACATGTTCACCGGCTGTGTTGTGTTGAGCTAATTGAGTGGGGCAGGTCAAGGATGAATTCCTCACGGATGGGCTTCAGAAGGAGCACAGTCAAGATCCTGTCGTTATGATCAAGGTTGAAAATCTTGACCACGCATGGACTCAAGAGCAAACTTGGGGGTTCGAAGAGATTGACGGCATCAGACGTTATGTTCGTAAGATTGTTGTGACGAAGGAAGGCAAGCGGGAGACGGCCCGCCTGGTGTTCGATTATGAATTAGCCTAAAATAGTGCAGAAGGGCGTAATTGCGCCACTGATAGCAACCTAATGTTATCAATCATGTCTTAAGCCACATACGAATTGCCACCGTATGCTGTTCAATGAAGTCACAGCATATCAAATGACACAAAACTTTGTAGATTCAACCCTACCGTTTTTACTGCAACCCACTTCCACTTGTTCGACCCCCTGCTGAGCGTCCATGCCTGCAGACATCTAGAATGGTGAAATACTTAGGGCTGAGAAGACCGGTTCCACACACTGGCTGGCCTTGGCACTAACGACACTAAACTAGTCACTTGAATCGGGTCATCGTGCCGCTCAAACGGCTTCTGCCTAGCCTATACCCGCCTCCCTAATTATATGATGGAATCCTCCCGCGTACGATAACATCGCCGCCACCATTATCCGGCAAGGTTGCCTTGCTTACACCTTGTATGAGAGACACAAATAGCGACGTTACGTGGGGGATCAAGACCCTGTTGAAGCTATTTACTAGACAAGTCAGATCTGATTAGCCTGTCAGTCTCGATGCAAGACAACTTCATGTTGTTAAGATCCTTTTTTTTTTTTTTTTTTTTTTTTTTTTTTTTTTTTTTTTTTTTTTTTTTTTCCTTTTTAACGCCATGGCGGCAAGGGCGCAGCCGCCCTTGCGGCAGACCTCCCGAAGGGTATGTGGCGTGGAGGGCCGCAGGATCTAGCTATCTACTGTGTAGTACACGCCTCTTCCTAGCGTCCTCCAGATCTTGCCCGAGGGCCACTATGTGTTCTATCCGTCCCTAGTTCCCACTGGTGCCCTAGTTCCGTTATAGCAATCTGCTGTCCTGATAACTATAGGTAGTCTGTTGTTGAGAGGATAGGTTAAGTCCTATCTATTAGTAACGCGGGCAGATCTTCTGGAAGAAGTCTGTCACGTCAAGGAAGGCCTGGAAGCCTTCATAATCGGTGATTAGCCCCTTAAAGTAGCGCTCTAGAGAGCCTATAGGTCCTAGAGGCTCCCTTCGACTATAAGGGTGGAGGATAGGCCACCGTTGCCTCCTCACTAGTGTCTTACGGCAGTAGACCAGGTGGTCTGCCTCTTTAGCCTCCCCGCAGGAGCAGGAAAGCAGTGCTTCTGTGTGGTTAAAGCGTTGATGATACTGTTCGAAGTCTCCGTGGCCTGATCGTGCTGCTAGGAGATGATGAAGGGTAGCTCTTGGTAGAGCTAGTTCAGGAGGGCAGCCAAGGGTGGCCTTAAGCCCCAGCTGGGTATAACAGGGGGGTGCCTCTTTCTTCCACCATTTTCTATGCTGGTGTTGTTTGCGTTCTTGAGCAAGCCGCTTGATCCCTGATAGGGTCGGCAGTAGGCCTCTGGGGACTGGCAGCGTTGTGCCCTCCTTAGCTAAGCTGTCAGCCTCCTCGTTTCCTTTTATCCCTTGGTGCCCTGGGGACCAGTGGGTTTGTATAGTATATATCCTGGCTGCTGCCTGGATCTCTAAGAAGGCAGCTTGTGAGGAGTCTGGGATGTTGCCGCGTATCCCCTGGATGACACTGGTGTTATCAATACAGATATGTATAGGCTGGCCTTGGGAGGTAGGAAGGGCCCTTTGGAGCCCTGCCCTCGCCCCCTCTGCCTCGCCATCAAATACTTCTGCAATGCTGAGACGGCCGCACCCTTGGGCTATCCGTTTGTTTCCGCGGTAGATAACAAAGCCGAATCCCGTAGCCCCATTAGTGGCTTTAGAGCCGTCTGAGTAGATAATCGTATGGTTATCTGGCACAGTCTTAACCCAGTTCTGAAACGCTTTAGCTGCCTTCTCCTTATCCTGGCCAGCTGTAGGGTCTTTTGATCCTGAGAGGTGCTGTGGCTGTAGGAGCATCGGCCTTGGGCACTTAGGTAGGAGGGCTGCTGTTCTTTGAAGCCTTGTTTCCTGCCGCCCTAGCTGTGGAAGCCTAGGGACTAAGGGGTTGTGTTGGTCAACCTTCTGTAGGCGTGTGGCAAAGCGTAGGCGTGCTGCCTCAAGGGCTACTTTTGCTGTAGGCAGGCCAGCATCTCGGAGGAGGCTGCTGGTTGGTGTAGTCCTCCAGACAGGCAGGATAGCCCTTGCTGCTGCTGTGATAACCTTTCTAACACTCCTAACCAGGCCCTTCTGCCTCGTACTGACAGTAGTTACCTGGTTAGTGGTGCTGCTGCTAACTGCAGTGGTGCTGCTGTTCCTAGCTGGCTTACTTAAGCCTGCATACCAGGTCTCAGCTCCGTATAGGACTGTAGGAAGGACACAGGCAATAACAGCTTGGCGTGCTGCAGCTGCTGGGAGCCCTCCTTTTGTGTTTGATAGGTGCTGTAGGAACTGGGCTACCTTCTTTGCTGCCGCTACCTTTGTATCAACATGGTGCCGGAAGGTGAGTTTCCTATCGAACCAGACCCCTAGCCATCGTACAGGCTTAGTTGAGGCCTTGATAGTTAGGTCCCTTGCCTGTATATCTGGTAGGTTATTTGACTGGTTGTGTTTCCTGCTAAAGTGGATTGCTTCACATTTAGCTGGGTCAAATGTAACCTTATTATCAGTGCCCCAGTCTAGGATCTGAGTTATCTCCTGGCTAAGGGCTGCAGTGTTTCCCTCCAGGGAAGGGCCAGTAGCCAGCAGGCCTATATCGTCTGCATAGCTAAACCGTAGCTTCTGATCGTCAGCTAGGATATCGGCTATATATAGCAGAAAAAGGATAGGTGATAGTGGCGAGCCTTGCGGCAGTCCGCAGGATAAAGGGAAGTCCTCTGTGGTAGTATCCTCTAACCTTACCCGGGCTGTGCGGCAAGAGGTGAAGTTGAAGATCAGTCTAATCAGACTACTAGGCCAGCCCTGCTGTCGTAGCCTAATAGTAAGTCGATTTCGTAGGACAGAATCAAACGCCCCCTTGACATCCATTGTCGCTAGAGTTGCAGTAAGCCCTGAGTCTAGAGCTCTTTCGATCTCATGGGTTAGACAGGTTGTCAGGTCGACTGCAGCCCTCCCTGGTAATGCCCCAACCTGCTGTGGGCTAGCAACTCCTTCCAGAATGGTGAGATATGCCATCCTCTTTGCTATCAGCCGCTCTAAGCCCTTGCCTAGGCAGGATAAGAGGGCTATTGGGCGCCAGGATCCAGCCTTTGAGAGGTCTGCTTTTCCCGGCTTCTGGATCATAACTACCTCTGCTTTGCGGAAGGTCCTAGGGAAGTAGCCTATCTGAACGCAGGCCTGAAAGAGCTGCTGTATAGGAACACCTATCAGGCCCCAAATGGATTGTAGTAACTTTGTAGTAATCCCATCAATCCCAGGGGTTGTAGCCTTTGTGAGAGTTGCCTGGCGTACTTCCTCAATGTTGACTATCTGCTGCCAGGGTATTAGACGCCTTGGAACTATAGGAATAGCAAATGGGTTCCCATGGAAGTCGTCTGTAGCGTCAAATCTCTCTAGTAGGGCCTTCCGTAAGGCTTGGGCTTTATCATAGCTGTTGTTAAAAGCCTGTCCATCTACCAATAGAGGTGGGGCTTTAACAGCTAGACCAGACTTACGCCAGCTAAGTATCTGATATAAGTTCTGGTTAGACCCAGCCTCCTCAATCTTAGCAGCCCAATAGGCGCGTTTTGCCTTCCTGACTGTGGTCAGAAAGGCCTTCTGCTCCTCTAGGATGGGCGGTGGTATTATTAGCCCAGGTTCTTGGGCTTGCTGACGCCTAGCCTCAATAGCTGCTTGGTGGGCCTCTGAGCACTCCTCTGTCCACCAGGGGGCTCCCCTGCCCTGGTTAGTCCGTCTCTTCCCTACAGCCTGGATAGCTGTAGAGAGGAGGCTGACTAGTTGGGTAGCTAGGGAGTCTATTTCTGCTGAAGTAGGTGTATCCCCTAAGGTAGGCAGGGCTAGGATCCCTACTTTCACTAGGTCGGCTAGCCGGAGTAGGGATGAGTCTGAGACCACAGGGTGGCTAGTCTGACACCTCAAGTCCTGGGTTTTGCTTATAGGTATGGTCGTTATAATAGCTTGGTGATCAGCCCCTGGATGTAGGTGTGGGCTGATGCAGGCCTCTGTAAAGGGGATATTTGAGAAGCTGAGGTCGAGTATATGCCCATGGGTATGGGTTGGAGCCCCAGCTACCCCAATAAAGTTAAGATTACAGCCTTCAGCCCACTCTGCAATATCGTCCCCTCGGTTCCGGCTTTGGGAGCCAGGTTCCCAGGAGGAGTGGCGAGCATTGAGATCCCCAGCAATAAGGGCTCTCTCCGGCGGTTGATAGCTTAGGAGGGTATTTGTTGTGTGGTTTGTGGGTTCACCTGGTGGTCTATAGACGTTTGCAATAGTAATGTCGCCCGCTTTGATCCATAGGATATCCCTTGATAGGGTAGGTCTTTGCTGCTGTATTTGTAACCTTAGACTTTTGTGTGTGTAGGTCATAACCCTAGGCCTTGTGTCCCTGCTGTTCCAGAAGTCAACTGGTACGTAAGAGTTATAGCCTGGGTGTGTGTTGATTTGCATCTTATCTCTATAGCCTATCCAGGGCTCCTGGATCAGTACTATATCGATCTGATCTGCCCAGCAGAGCTCTAGGAGAGCTGTATGAGCTGGGCTGATCTTCCCCACGTTACACTGGGCGACCCGTAGTACCCGTGGGGTAGCCATTTTGAGCCTACGGCTCTGAGTCGAGATCGAGGTGGGTATAGGCATTAATAACGTTGTAGTCAGGCTTCTGTATTACCCTCTGGCTTCTGCTACTGCTTGGAAGCGGGCAGATAGGGCGGTTGGTAAGGGGGAGGGCTTCAGAGTCTTCAGCCTCATCCTCATCCATACTATTGCTGCTTCCAGCTATGCTAGCAGTATCTGCAACAACAATTGAGTCTTGTGTAGGTGTGAGGGGTCGAGGGCGCTTAGATGTAGTGCCCAGCCTGGCCTCTGCTTGCTGTGTGCTGCCTAGGGAGCAGGCCTGGCTAGCTAGGAGGTCATCTGAGGCCTTGCCACCAACCTTCCGGATCCCTCGCAGTTCCTTATAGGTAGGTATAACAAGTTTTCCATTAACTAGTAGCGGTCTGGCTGGGCAGTTGGCATGGCTTGCTGGGAAGGGCCCATAGCAGTTAGCACACTTAGACCTGGCTAGGCAGATCCTATCCTCATGCGAATCTAAGGGCATACTGCAGTTCTCACAGAGGGGTTGCCGGGTGCAGTAGCGGTTTGAGTGGAAGCCCTGGCAGCCAGAGGAGTGTCGTTTAGGGACCTGTTTCCTAGGGGGGAGCAGACGAGCTGGGCCTGACTGGCCGAACAGGCGGAAGCCTTCCTTAACTCCCTGGGGGAGGGCAATAATCAGGCTTTGCGTAGCTGTGGCTAGGTCAGGGCTATCTCGGGTTGGGCGCCAGGAGAGGAGTCTTTGCTTTGTCTGTAGGAAGACCTCTTCCTCTATTTCAGATTCAATACCCATCCTACTTCCATCTAGGCTTGTGAAGTATAGGGGGCAAAAAGGGATGGAATACTGGTACCATCTTGTAGGCACTTCTACCTTCTCAGCTGTGAGACAGTTCTTAATCTCAGGGGCCCTCTGAAGGAGTAGGGCTTGTATCTCTTTGTTCTGGGGCCTCAGCGAGAAGCCAGTAGCAGTATGGCGAACCTCAACTAGGTCTTGTGGTTGTAGGTTGAGCTCTTTTGTAACTACCATTTTTACTGAGTGAGGGGCTAGGGTTCTGGAGGTAGGGATATGTTCGGCAGGAAGCCTAACCAGTAGGCGGAGATCCTGGGTCTGTTTTGGCTTGTTTGCGTAGTTGGTGGCCTGCCGGCCTGTTGTTCGGCTCGGCCGGGGGCCGGGGCCGGGGCTGGGGCCGGAAAGGGATCCACCTTTAGTGGAGCCTCCGGCGGCCAGGGCGTACGTTTTTCCGGGGCTGGTAGGGGTGGGTCCAGAAGTTTCTGTGGTTGCAAATCTGGCAAAAGAGTCGATGAGGTCCTGGGCTGTAGCCTTCAGACGTGCTGGAGCCGTCCCAATGAGGGCATCTAGGCCTTTTGCGAGGAGGTCCAGGGCCTCATCTCGGAGGGCCCGACCTTCCCGGGCTTGCTGAAGAGCGGCAGTGGCCGATTGTGGCCCTCCTCCAAGGGGCCGGATAGGGGGGGGCGTGAGGCCCCTCGGACGCGGTGGTAGGGAGGTAAGGGGGGGAGGGGTCTTCGGCAGGTTATGCATAGAGGATAGGAGGCCGTTAGGGCCCTGCGAGGCGCCCGCGGCTGGCTCTGAGGCCATCGCGGGCGAGAGTAGGTTGTCTTCTATTTCCTACAGTCCGCAATCCCTAACCTTTTCCCCAAAACAGGGAGAGAGAGTCTACTGGAGCCCTCTCAGTACCTAGGGGTCCTAATAGTCAAAGGGGTAGCCAGCCCCTTTAGCGGGCGTCCAGACCACCGGCTCGCCACCGCCCAGTCCTTAGCCACCCAAATAGAAGTTTGCACCTTAAGCAGGCCGCAAGGGCATATCCCTCTCTAAGCCTACCGACATGCGCGTCCGTCCTCTCGAGCCAAACACACCCCTTCTCAGGTCCTCCCCTACGTCCAGTCCACAATAGCGACACCCTACCAGCTTCCAAAGCGCGCGGCGCCATCCCGGCGCGAGCGGTGACCCAAGCGTTCCTCCCGTTATGCCGTGATACCCCGGGTACGATCCGAGTGAGGGCCGGGCCCGGAGGCCGGGCCCTAAGGCGATACCATATCCGACCGGTCCCCCTAGGGGCAATTCTTCAACACCCTCCTTCCTCCAGCAGCCCGAGTGCGAGTCGGGGTTGTTTCCTTTCTGTAGCCTGCTGCTCGAATGTGTTTGCTACGGCCCACTGGTTGTCCGAGGGCACAACCCCCCGGGCCAGCTTCCCGTTACCCGCCGCCGTCTC